TAGTGAAATGAAGGAAAATTGGAAGAATTAATGGCGTGTACCCGCGCCCGTCATAATCTTTAAATAATTACGCTCGTAATTTCACGATTTCTCGACATCTTAAACTTCGAAAGAAACGTTCTCGTTTAAAGATTTCGTACGAGTTGGTTCTTATCGCAATTTTTATTAAAAAAAAAGGATAAGTAATCTCTCTCTTTCTCTCTCTCTCTAATATTGAAAGTTGAAGAATGACTTTAGTTTTAAGAATACAAATTTCAATCATAATGTTATTTCTGAGCGAATATCAAATGAAGATTAAAACTCGGTTTATAAAAATATAATTATAAATATAAATTCTGGTGTATTTTTGTATCAAATAACTGAGCAAATTTTTTTTCCAGAGATTATAAATAAAAAAAAAAATGTTCTAAAATGATGAATAAGATAAAAAAGCAAAAAATAAAACAAAAATAATAATAAAAAAAGGATAAAAGATTTATGCAGAAAATGTCAGTTTATCAGGAGATTTTTTCGACGAAAATGGAGCCAATTCTAATGAAAAGAACGAAATCGAGCGGGCTAAAATTATTCGAATAAAATGCAGGATGGTCATTTCGGTGAATTGCGACAGAGTACGGAAATTATCGCATGCAAACCTCTCGTTATTTATCGCGTTTCTCTTCCGCGTATATTTCCGCTATGCAAGAACTGTCGAATTAAGCTCGGCATAATCAGGGGGTGGGAAAGGGGTAACGGAAGACGGGTGCTAATTAAGATATAACATTGACTAATGGTCGCTAATTCTAACGTGCATAAATGAAATATAATTCACCCTGCGGCGGGCTGTATTACGCCGTAATCGGTTTATATGCGGCGTACTTACTTTCAGGAACGTGCCGGGTAATTTAAGTGCCTTCTGCTAATAAGGACAGCTTCTCTATGCCGGAATAAGCGTGTTTGACGTAATTCTTGACTGTTATTAATTTCACGGTAGCTTCCTCGACGCGAGATTATTTTATTCTTTTAAGTTGATCTGTATCTGTTAAAATTAACATTTTTTGTGCTAATGAAGTAATCATACGAAATGTGTTCCAAGCTTCTCTTATATTTTTAGACAGATCTTACGATGTATTTCTTCTTATCAAAAATATTAGGCATTAATAACTCTCAAGTGGCATTTATTTGATTTAATGAAGCTTTATTTTGATGAAATTTTAATCTCAAGGATAATCATCATCAAGATACTTTTTTTTATTCGGATTATACATATAATGAAACTGTGTTCAAACATTGCTGTTTTTTATGTCATCCCTTTTATATTTCGTTTCACGACAGCTTTTTGCTAATAAATTAAATTGTCTAATCATTCTTAATAGACTGAAGGATCAGTTATAAAGATATTCGATCCACGTACAGCTTATATACAAAAGATATGTATATATAAAAGAAGCTTCTTTCGCCTTCTGCTCCGACGAGAGCTCGCGGTTGCGCGCAAAGTTTATCCTGCCGTTCTGTCTTTTTCTTTTCGAGAAGAGAGAAAAAGGAAGGGAAGGAAGCTCGGGAAAGTTCCGGTGGCAGAAAAGAGGAAGATTCGGAATAAGTGCTCTCTCGGCGTGGAAAAATCACGGACAGCGCGGCGCATCTCAAGGATTCTCGGGTTAAAGTCACCGTGCACCCTGAAAATCCCAGGCCAGGGCAAACGAAATTAGGAGCAAGGTGAACTGGTCCTTTGCGAGAGAACTCCGGCTCCGTAGCAGAAGGAGCAGTCTGACATGAGCCCTATTAAAATCCGATAAATCTCGCGAATGCTACGTCGGACGTTCCGTTGAACATGAAAGCACAACTTTCAACACGTTGCTTTCTCTCGCAAAACGGATTGCTCGTCGACGGCGAGTAATAGGATCGTTTTATATCAATGCAAGATGCGCGTGTATGGTAGATATGGATTAGTTGTAACGCAACTTGAAATGAGTTGTAATCCCCTTAATGTTCATTTCACCAAACGCAATTCAGTTCTATTAATGCAAACAATGTTAACAACTTCTTAAAATGCAATCTTGTCATTTTATTATGAGCTTTGATTTTATACAAAATTGCGTGCATGATATTACGAAAATTGTTGATATTTATTATTTATGTAATTTTAGCTAATATTTCTATATAAAAATGAGATAAATTTCTACAGATTAAAAAATATCTTTGCTCTTCTAAATACATATAATTTTTTTTAATGACATAGCAATCTTAATAATGTGTAAGTCTATTAAACAATGTTAACAATTTCTTAAATCGTAAAATGCAATCTTGTCATTTTATTATGAGCTTTGATTTTATACAAAATTGCGTGCATGATATTACGAAAATTGTTGAAAAAAATGAGATAAATTTCTACAGATTAAAAAATATCTTTGCTCTTCTAAATAAATATAATTTTTTTTAATGACATAGCAATCTTAATAATGTGTAAGTCTATTAATGCAAACAATGTTAACAATTTCTTAAAATGCAATCTTGTCATTTTATTATAATGAGCTTTGATTTTATACAAAATCGCGTGCATGATATTACGAAAATTGTTGATATTTATTATTTATGTAATTTTAGCTAATATTTCTATATAAAAATGAGATAAATTTCTACAGATTAAAAAATATCTTTGCTCCTCTAAATATTATACATATAATTTTTTTTAATGACATAGCAATCTTAATAATGTGTAAGTCTATTAAACAATGTTAACAATTTCTTAAAATGCAATCTTGTCATTTTATTATGAGCTTTGATTTTATACAAAATCGCGTGCATGATATTACAGAAATTGTTGATATTTATTATTTATGTAATTTTAGCTAATATTTTTATATAAAAATGAGATGCATTGCTAAAGATTAAAAAATCTTTGCTCTTCTAAATACATATAATTTTCTTTAATGACATAGCAATCTTAATAATGTGTAAGTCTATTAATGCAAACAATGTTAACAATTTCTTAAATCGTAAAATGCAATCTTGTCATTTTATTATGAGCTTTGATTTTATACAAAATTACAGAAATTGTTGATATTACAAAAATTGTTGATATTTATTATTTATATAATTTTAGCTAATATTTTTATATAAAAATGAGATAAATTTCCAAAGAGATTGAAAAATCTTTATATAAAATTTTTTAATGATATAGCAATCTTAATAATGTGATAATCAACTTATTTCTTGCATAATATAAGAAAAGATCGTTAATGAATGTTTGAAAAAAACTGACAAACACAGAATATTATGATGATATAATGATGAGATTACAAAATGTGAAAAAGCGCGAAATTAAAGAACTAATCGAACGCGATTTTAATCAATAATAAAATTATTATGATATGCAACACTTGATGTATGAATACAGATGTTCTTTCAATTTCACCGTTCAGGTAATTAATTCTGTTATAGCTCGTTACAATGCTGTGTTTTCAGAGAGTGGTAAGTTCTGTATTTTTAACGGTAGAAAGAATACTTTGAACAGTAATCGTGCTCGATATGCTGCGTTATAAATTCAATTGAAATATAAAAAAATAAAGTTGACTGGTAACGATTTTTATGCAATTCCGCGTTATCTTTGTGAGAGAACCAATGGAATAAATTATTAATATATAAAGACTTCATCAGCGCGGTTTCGGTCTTTGCTGCCGTTTGTAGGGTATCGTTTTATTAATTCAAAGTAGTCATGTATATATATGAATGTATGTATGCACGTAACGTCCGTCAAAATGAAACGTATTGAATAATCGTGCAAGCATTTGGTGCACATATCTCATTTTTTTGCATCGCGAAGTGACGCGTCGCATACAATTTGAAAAAAGAAAACACAATCGGCGCTTGTTTTTGGCATCAACGGGAAATTTCTTTTTCGCATCCACCTTTACCACATCATCCGCCCTTATAGAAATTTATCACTAGTAACGCCAATTTACTATTTATTTTGAGTTGTTAATCACTTATTTCTAGTACTTTAATTACTGTATATCAGTATTTTAAGTACTAGAAATAAGTGATTAATTAGCGTTACTAGTGATAAATTTCTACAAGGGCGATTACGCATCTCGCACGCATTCTCCATTTTTTTCTTTCCGAAAATCGGCAGAGACAGTTTCAAGCAGACAAAAATATGAATAAATTGTAAATCGATGCAATTTGCAATTGCTGACGGAATAAAGATGATCTTTTTTTGTTTGCGTATACATCCGAACATGTAATTTGTAGATTTTGTTATACACATATTGCGCAAAAATACTGGTAATTGAACGTAGAATTAAGATAATACATTTAAAGTTAACTATAAATGCTGAAAAAAAAAAACAAATAATATTATATTTAGCACTTAATGTGAATATAATGCTAAGAATATACATATTAACATATACATATTAGCACACATATACGCGCGTTCAACAAATGTAGAATATTAAAAATTTACTGACATATGTATATATACATTTTTATAAAAAAAAGACAGAGTATATTTTAACATTTCTTTTCTGTGATTAGCGATTAATTTGATTTGAAGGAATAATTTAGCAATCCAAAGCAAAAATTATCGATTTTAGATTTAAATATAACGGAGAAAATCAGCTTTAGGATAATTTTATTATCTTTTACGATGAAAGTAGTAGTAAAAATCTAAAAATAAAAGAGTAAAAATCTGGATATGCTTCTTTTATATTTTATAAGTAATTAGTAATTATTTATGAAATGTCGGATTGAGTTGTCAGTGAATGTCAAGAAAGAAAGGGAGAGTATGGGTGGAAAGTAAATTTCTATACATCTATAAATTAGATATTTTGACGGAAAACATATAACACAACAAACATTTAAGGACACACAATTTCGTGCTTACAGTCAATAAGATTTAGTCAGCGATTGGATTGCGAGTCGATTAGTCGACAAATTGAAAGTATCTCGTATGTTTTTCGTATGAGTTTATGTATTGATTATTATTCTATTATTATATATTCGTGTACGCATATAACGATTTAGAGAGAGAGAAAGAGAGATTGCACGATTTTGGTAAGATTCACAAATTAATATTATAAAGTTATTATTTTTTTATGTCGAATCAGTTGATTAATACTGTGATTAGTATTGTATGTCACTTGCTGTATAATGAAATTAATCAAATTAATTTTTATTAATATATTATCTTTGCAAACACTATTATTTTTTGTAATTATAAGTTTAATAAACTCGCATATTAAGAATGTTATAATAATCTATATCGAATTGCCGTAAAATTGTCTTTACTTTCAACGCTCTATTTTAGCATGCACTTGTTTATGTATAAATTGTAAATTATTATGTATAATATATTATGCGAAGTTTTTTGTTGTTGTAAGATTTTCTGTTACTTTTTTACGTTATATTTTAATGTGTTAATAACTTGGCGAACATCAAAATCGATTATGAAATTAGTTATGAAATATAATGATTGCTTTGATTTATACGTAATTTTCAGAAATATATTTATATAGTAAATATAGTTAAGAGAAAAATCTTGTGTTTGATTTTATTATTAGATTGTCGATTTATTTGCGAAAAAGTTAAGTAAGGTATCTAAAATCAGAACATAATATGTGACATTTAATACACGAAATTATTGTTTTTATTCTTAGGTAATTGACACTTGGCACGATAACGCAATATTGATAAACAACTGTTGGCTGACACAAACTGCTACCTAGTGTCTTGTCTAATTTTTTGAGAAAGCTAAACATACGCACAATAATACAGATTTTTATTATGCATATTATAGTTCAAATATTATGGATCATTCTCATAGTTTTAATCTCAGGTAAGATTAATTCATATTCCAAATGCAATATATTAAACTTATGCATTTTCTTTCATTTAATTATACATATATTTATGTGTAAAATGCGCGTTAAAATAAATCATGCATTTGTCATATAAATTGTTTGTTTTTTCCGAAATTGTTATTTTTTCAATTTTAATTAGAAAGTAATAAAAGAATGATAATAATATTGTAAAATAAAATTTTTTAAAAATAAAATATGTTTATAAATTTTATTTATCAATAATAATCTTTTATTGATAAGCTAATTTATTATTTATAAATTTATTACTAAAATTAAAAATAAATAATTAATAAAAAATGTTTAATATAGTTATTTTAATTTACTTACAATAAATTTTGATAATAAACTTTTAACTTATTAATAGACTTAATAAAATTATAATTTATTAATGGTAGACATGTATGATTAATCGATTATCAATTATTATGTTTTCAGATGCTGCGATGAGGCCTATAGTACCATTATCAATGAGTAATACAAATATAGAATACAGTGTAGAAGAAAAAATTCAGAATGTTAAATTAGAAAATAATATAAGAGATATCACGATGTTTTATTATATATTTCAGATATTTTGTCGGGAGCGTTTTATTAGCAATTTTTTTTTAATAGGACTTCTATTTATGATAATAATGTTACGTTATACTCACTTTAGGTAATTGATTCCCTTTTCTATTTATGCTTACAAAATTTTATAATTAAATACAAATTTACATATACAAATAATTTATAGTCAACTTTAATGAAGAAAAATACAGAACAAAGTAATTAAAAAAATTTTTACATTTCATATCTTTATTCTCTATTAATTTTGTTATTAAAGAATAAAATAATAATAGTATATGTATAATTGTGTATTTAAAAGCAAACAAATTCAAAATTAGATAGAAATTATAAATTTAATAACATTTATTTGATTTAGATTAAATTATTGTTACTATAAAAAAATATTTATATTTTTAATTTTTGTATAAAAAAATAAACTATGAAATATATAATTGTATAGTTAAATTTATCAATTTGCAATTGAAAGATAGTATCAACATTAAGTCATTGATGTCGTTACATTATTGCTTTTTAATTAAGATTTCAGTTTTTTAAATGTAATATGTATTTTTTATCGTGCAAATTATAGGAAAAATTAAGATAAATATAATATACAATATATTTCATGTTATGTTGCTTTTATCGCAAAGTGAAATAATTATTAATATTAACAATTTTAATAATCACGTCTCATTTATTTAAATGTTCTCATAATGTAAAAAATGACTTATGTTATATTTTCATCATAACAGGAAGTTTATTAGAAGCCTTTGCCCAACTTTAACAAACTGGTTGGATGATATTCTTGAAATTGATTCATCTCTCAAGCCCCAATATGATATTCTTCATCGAGTAGATAATAAGTATTATAGTTTAGATTTATGTGTATAGTAATTTTTTAAATGTATATATAACGTATAAAATATATATAATGACAATCCTGATATAAATCCTGTAATTATGAATCTAATTTAATCAGTTTCGAATAGATTTAAGTTATATTGATTAAAATATTTTTCTGGTTTTGCAACCAAAAAAGTAGTATAAAAAATTTTAGTGATTGTTTCTATGGCAGATTTTATTTTTTGTTTTGTTGATTTGAATTATTATTTTATTATTTATTTTTTTAAATAAAATTTTAATTTTTTTGTAAATTTATTACAAAATAATTTAAAAATTAAAATATTCTTTTTGTCAGATAATTGTAGCTTCAAAAACTAATACAAGATACATAAATAAATAAAATAAATAATATATAAATATAATTAATAAAAAAAAATAATTTTTAGAAACATAGAAGAACTGAAATTTTAATTTTTTAAAATATAGTATATATGTATGTTAAAGTACATATATCATTGTACTATTATATAAATATGTATATATATATATATATATATATATATATATATAAATGTATAATATATAATATAATGTATAATATATAAATGTATAATATATAAATATTACATATAAAAAATACTTTAATATTAACTTCTAAAAATTTATTAAAAAGTATGTTTTTTCAAATTAATCAATTTAAATTAGATATATTTACTTTTTATAGATTAAAATACAATTATTTATGTAAAGTTTCTATCACCATATTTTAACATTGCTTTTATATTGTATTGTTGATTTATTTATTGTTTTATTCTAATAATTAGTATAATACAAATGTATTTATGTAATATTAATAGAAAATTCTATTTTTTGTATTACATATTATAAAATTTCTTTTTCAAATTAATTTTGCTATTAAATATTGATTTATAATTTCGAGTGAAATAAATGTTGTGATTATATACTGTACGAAAATTCTTTTTGTTTATATAACCTTGCTAAATAGCAAATATAAATATCTCAAGCTTTTTTCTTTGTAATCTCATTTATATTATTATTTAGTTTCAAATATTTAGTGAAAGTACGAACATCTGTACTGAATACCCGCGGCAATAAAAATTTATCATCGATATTCCATATTAGCACACAATATATGTAAGCTTAAACTAACTTTTATTTTGTCTTTTTTGTTATTATTATAATTTATTATTTATTTTTATATTTGTTTTATTATATAATAATTTTATTTCTTATAAAAACATAAACCGTTATAATATTTAATCTTTCTATCTTTTGTTAAGAGCTGCGTTATTAAAAAGTATAATGTCGTACATTATAATTTCAGTATTCAAATAATTTTGTTACAGATTTCAGGAAACTGGTGTCATATCGCGAGATGACTATTTAGATGAAGAAGGTTGTAATTTCTTCTAGTTAGATTTTGTCAAGAAAAGAGTTTTCACAATGCATTTTATGATACGAACATTTATTTACACTATTATTTTTGTGGTTTTTATTCTAAGTAAGATAATAATTTATATCATAATTTTCTATAGATGATCACTTTGCTAATTTGTTGTATATTATGTGTATACATATATTGTATATATATACAATATATATATATATATATGTGTGTGTGTGTATGTATATTTTTGTATTCATATATGTATACTTATAATGTGAAAAATAATGTTTATGTCTCTGTTTTTGGTTTGAATTTCTATTTTTGTTTAACATTAATTACAAACATTGTAGCAAGAATGTGTGAGCCTAATTAAATACTATTTTTATATAGAATATATAATATATGCCTATTTTTATTGCTAAGAACAGAACGTTAGGAACAGTACATAGAAATTTATTAATAATGTACTTTTACTTACAATATAAGTTGATTTATTTATAATTAATTTCTATAACAAAATTAATTCACTAATATAATAGATTTTTTTATTAATAGAATATTTTGTAACTTACAATGTACTACTTATTAATACTTTTGTATAGCAAAGTTAATTTACTTTTCTAAAAGTAATCAATTAGATTAATTGGTATTATTTTTTCAGGTATTGTAACAAAACCTAAAAACTCATCAATGTTAAATATTGATAACCATGCAGTCGTTAACGAAGAAATAAACATTTATGATAATAAATCGATAAATAATACGAATACGATAGAAAACGCACATTTTGAAAAACAGTATTATAATAATGACATATTGGATTGGGCTCTTATATATAGTGCATTTAAGATGGCCTTAAAATTACTTTCTATAATGCTTCCTTTAGCATACGTATTTTATATAATTTTAGTTCATAAGTAAGTCAGTTTTGACAATAATTATGTGTATCAGTTTATATTCAATTAATTTATTTAAGTAGTTTTATATAGGGTATAAAAAGTATTGAGAAACCATTTAACTTTACGAAAATTACGCATTGTCGAAGAAATATTTCAGACAAAATTTGTTTATAGAGTTTAAAAAGCTCTATTTACTGAGCTTAGTTTGATTTGAATGATGCTGGTAAAATTAGAATTATTTTTAATTTTTTAAATGGAGCTACTTTATTTTTTTTTTACATAAATTGATTCCTCATGATATTCGGTATAAAATGTTATAAGGATAGAGTAGCGAAAAAATGAGTACTTTACGAGATTTTAAAATCTGACATAATCTTACATAAATTATGAAATAAATTATAAAATATTTTCGATGATCTTACCTCAGTACTTTTAACAAAATAATTAGAGGAATTAATTAATCTAAAGAAAACATGTAGTTATTTTCAAGAAAAAGTATGTAAATTGTTAGCAGTTACATATTTTTTTTAAAAAAAACTATATATTTTTTTATATTAATTGATTTTTCTCATGATCATTTTGTGCATAATAATATTAAGGTAGGATTATTGAAAGGTGAATACTTTACGGGATATTTTATAGTTTATGTAAAATTAGGCCAAATTAAAGTAATAAATATTTCGTAAATTATTCACTTTTTGGCCGTCCTATTCTTATAACTTTTTATGCAAAATATTACGAGAAATTGATTTATATAAAAAAATATATAGTGGCTTTATTTAAGAAATTCAAGATAATCTTATTTTGACACCAAGATCGAACTGATAAGATTTGTAAATAGATCTTTTTAAATCCTACAACTTTTATTGGAAACACTTTTCTGTAAAACTTATATTTTTCGAGATTTTTCAGGATTTCCATACTTTTTCCTCACCCTGTATATGTGTGTGTGTGTGTGAGTGTGAATTATTGCAACATGTAACTAATATTATTTATGTAGAAAATGTTGCTTAATTAATCATAAATGTTTTCATTATTGGAAACGATTTTTAGATGTAAGATTTGGGATGGACAATTACTAAAACGACATTGCTATTATATTATCAATTTTTTCTTTTGGTGTTGTCGTATTCCTATCTATTTAAACGCTGATAATAATAATTCAAACCGTGCGCCTGATTACGTTGCCACTTATCGAGCAGAGTCATACACTATATATAACACAAACGATGTAAGTAAAACATATATACTAGATACTAAGTTATACATATAAAAATATATATTTATTTGATGGAATTACGGTTGTTCTGAGACACACTATGTGTGTGTGTGTGTGTGTAAGCGTGGGACATTGTTGAATATTTTACACATATATACGCGCAATTTGTTAAATGTTCATATATTCTTTATACATATTTAAAAGAAAAACTATTTTGAAGAAAAAAGAATAAAATACACACTCCCATAAACATATATTATATATATAAATTTATATTTAATATAATATATGCAACAAGCTTTTGTATCAAATTTTAAAAATATCTTCATCTTTTTCTTTACTCAAATATTTATGTATATCCATCTATCTTCATAGTGCGTTTTAATCGACATAAATACAATAATTAATTTTATACAAATGAATTTTTTATATTTTTTATTAATTATATGTATAAATTAATATTATTACCATTTAATTTTGCAGGCTTCAATAGAGGATGTTTAATTTGAAATTTTGCATTGATATTATTGTAAAAAAACTGATTTAAGGATTGATAATAATTCTATAAGTATACAATTATAATTTTTAAGATATATATACAATTAACAATTTTAAGATTATTTAAGCATAATTAATATTTTATAATTTTGATCTTTAGTTCTAAGTAAGTCGTAAATTTTAGAAAATGCCTGCATATCTTGTTCTCCATTATAAATTGTTCAATTGTGTAAGCTGAAATAATCTTTGACAAACATTTATGGTGCAATGACGGTTAAAGATTACATTGTAACATTAATTCATTTTAAGTCGTATTTTAAAAAATAAACTTTGCTAGTAACATTATTAATAATTACTAATTATTAATTATTAATTATTAATTATTAATGTATTATTAATAATTTTTTTAGCTTATAACTTTACAACATAAAGTTTTAAAGTTTTATTAAAAATACGATTTTTTTGTTTTGCTTTCTTTTAACTGCTTTATATAAAATTTTTAACATTTTATATTTTTTAAATTTTATAAAAAATATATAATGAATATATAGACACATCATACATATATTTTACTAGCAAGATTAATGAAAGTTAATTTAATATTATTAGAAAATGTAAATTAGTGTTATTAAAAATGTAATGCATTTTGTATATTATTGTTGTATATAATAATACAAATATCGTTACATAATAAAACATAATAATATGATATCTAAAAATCTAGAACTTACATAAATATGTATAATATATAAACATGTAATAAATTTTTATAATTTAAATATACATTAGATAATAAATTTAAAATCTAAATTTTTATATAATGTGTATTATATATAAAATAATAAATAGATATAAAAATTTATGTACAAATTTATATAAATGCATATTTTGTAAATGTTGAATTTTCTAAAAAAAGTGTTTTTTTCAGCGATTAATTTGTGCATTAAAACTTCTAGTTTTTTTTTTATAAAAAATAACACTGTATTTGATAATACAGTGTTCTAAAATTTGCAAATAATTGGGTAATAGCAGATTCCTGAGATCATATTTTAATAGATAGTTGTGATTAAGAGTTTAATTGATCATTAAAAACTAGAATTATTAGAAGTTATCGCATTTGCATGTTTTGTTATTTTTAATTAAATAAAATATGTCTACACAATATAATTATAATTTGATAAAATAATAATTAATAATTAACATATATTTTTAATATATTATATACAATATAATAAATAATGCAGGAATTTTATATTCTAAGTGTAAATCTGACGAATATTTCAAATAAATTAAAAACTCGTATTACAAAAGTCGTTAAATTTATTTGGGGATTACTGCTGAGAAAGATATAACTCACGAGCTTATAAGAATAAACAATTTGTTTTGCACCGACAATATTATAAAACTTATGCGAACAGGATAATATATAGGTCAATAATATCTCCTATAGATTCTTCTATGAGTCGTTAGTCATAATATGTCATGCGGGCACAGAGGACATAGAGACAACAAATCTCAATTTAGTAAGATCAACAAATAACATATTATATTTATTAATTAAAGTTATTAATTTTATGTATCGAAGTAGGTCTTTTATGTAGATATCCTATGTTAGTTGCGTGTCTTCTTGGCATTTCATTGTGATCAGAAAAATTTACTAAGCAGCTATGCTCTTTTTTAAACTTATTGGCATTAATTATCATTTATATAGTAATATCAGACATACATATCATATTTTAAGCTCCGTGATATTTTACGGTACGCTACATTATTTTTTGTACGTTAATAATTTCAAGTAAGCGTATATACATAATAACATCGATGACACAATTTTTTAAGAGTATAATCATCATTTTGATTTGCGTGATATATATATTAAAAATATTAGTTTGCGTTAATTTTATTCTAAAAAATTGTTGATTTACTTGAGAATTTCACGTAAAATATTTAAAAGTAAATACTCAGTAAGTAGATCGTGTGCGATATTCAAATTTCTTTTGTTATAATTTTGTACAACGATATCACAGATATGACTATCTTGCTCTCTTTTGCGTACAACCTCATAGTTTGCTTGTATCATTACTAATATTTTTAGTTATATAATTCTCACAGATACAATTTTTACTATTACGATTTTAATTCTCTTAATTATGATGAATATCCATAATTTATGAAAACACGCTGCGGATACTGAATATTACTATGTGATATTAACTTGCGCGCAAATTGTATTTTATTTCCTTTTTTAATATCTTTGAATTTGATTATTTTTTGTTAATTTTTGTTTTTTTCGTTTTATCATGCATCCCTCTCAAGTTGATCTGATTAATCATTAAAAAAAACTTATTTTATTTATCATTTTGTGTTAAATCCTATGATTCTGATATTAAAAATGATTATTGATTTCAGGCAATTGATACGATGTTAATGACTGATTGAATAAAGACAGTTACAATCTCTTCCTATTAAATTGTTTCAAGAAAAAAGCTATAAAAGTTTTCATAATATACATTATGACGCAAACACTAAAGATCATTATTTTTATTATAATTTTGATGTCAAGTAAGATAATAATTTATATCGTAATGTTTTAAACAATCGCTTGTTTTATTTTCATAATAATAAGTACTTAGGATGTGGAACATAATATTTGTATCTATGAAAATTTTATTAAAATTTCTCCTTTTTCTTTACAGTACTAATAAAAAAAATAAAAAATATAATTATAAAGTTAAAAATATTCTCGAAACTTATGACTATGAATATAATACATACACACTTTTTATTGTCAGAAAATACGTAAATTAATTGTTGATACATTTTTAATATTTTAATATTATTAGTAACTTTATTAATATTATGTGAGTTTTATGACAAAAATAATTTATCAATAGTAAGTTCTTATCTAAGGAAGTGTTAATTAATTTTGACGATTTTTAATATATATTTAACAAAATAAATATTAACGATAAAAATGTACAATCAATTACTAATTGAAATTATTTTTTAGATACCGTAACGCACTTACCATTGTCTAACAGTACTTTAAATACAGTATATCCAATATTTGATAATATGCAAAATAAATCGGAGGAGTCTATAAAAGAGACGACGATACAATATCAACTTGATATTGATGCTCTTTGGAATTGGATACTTCTTGTTTGGACTACATTAAATCCTTGGGTAGCAATTTTGCTAACGTCAATTATTCTGGTGTTTATATTATGTTTGCTTTACTGGATCAGGTAATCAATTTCTCTATAAATATTTATGCTTAAATTTTATAATCAATTAATTAAATTTAAATATATATAAGCAATAAGTAACAAAGAATTATTATTAATGTTGTGGTAAAAACAATTTTTGTTCCTTTTTAACTTTTTCAAAGATATCAAAATTAATTGTAATTCTTTTGACTTCTTAAAATATTTTTTAAACTGTAGTATATTGTACAGTATTATAAAAATTGAGAAATATGTTAAATGCGCCGTATAAATTTTATATATATATACACATATATATGTTAGAATATGGAATAATTACTAACTGCTGCATATATATTTTAATTTTTGATTTTGTGTCCACATTCTTTAAAATAAGCATTTTCTTAGATATATTCTATTATTGAAATTTATAATATCTATAAAAACGACTTTTTTATATTTAATTTGCACAGAAAATATTTTACCGTTTTTATAAACTGTTCCGGCTTCACTCCTGAATTTGAGTTTCCTCTTAAGTTTAGAACCCGAATCACAACTATTCCTCGTCGACAAAATAATGTTAATTTTACGGAGGAGTGTGAAATGCAGACTGTAAGTAAAATAAATATGCAGTGAATTTATATATGTATAATATACATTATATAATCAACTAATCTAATATAATATTATAAAATATATTATAATAGAATATGCTATAAACATATATAATTTATATTATAATAAACCAATTCATTTAAGACATGTTATCAATATTATATTATTAATAATTTAATTTTATAGGTACCAATAACAGAAAATGTATAATAAACAAAACTTGCATTATTGTGTAACGTATATAGTTGTAATAAGTTAGTTGTAATACATATATTTTTCTTCAAAGAGAATTTGTATATGAATATCAAATTTTCTAAATCTAATTGATATATGTAGTTAAGCATATCTATTAAATACCTACATACATTTGTAGCAACCACATCTTTTAGTGCACAATTTAAAAAATCGACAATTGCTTTGGTGGCCTACGTCTTTATTATTTTTATTCGTATAATTAATGTCGTCTTTTTTGTAACAAATATTTATGTTTATGATGTATGCATAAATCTAATGAAATAAAAATACAGAATAAATTTTTATTGTTTTCCAAAAATATAATATTTTCTTGCTTCTCTCATATATATATATATATATATATACTTGACACCTCATTTTCGCTTTTTTTATTCTGGAGATTGCACAATTGTAGGTACTCGCTCGCATCGATGTGTAACCTGTCGATCAGTCGTGTCCGCGTTCCATCATTCGTCACGGAAACGGGATTACATTGGTCCCAATTTTTGACCAGCTTTGAACGTTATCCCTAGACGTCCTTTGACCCGATTGACGTCTGAAATCGCATCATGTAGCAACGTTGCAAGGGCGGTGTGGCGCACTCGAAATGTTACGGAATCAGTTTAACTTCCTCTCTCTCTCTCTCTCTCTCTCTGTTGGGGAAAGCTGCCCCCGAAAAAAAGGGCATTTCTCCCGACTCTGGAGTAGCAGTATTTGCCGCAGTGGCAGCGCTCACTTTCCGCGGTGAAATTACTCGTACCACTCAGCAAAATTGAAGGAAAAATCTTTGATCCCCGTGCGATTCCCCACTCGAATGCGATGTTTCGCATCTGTCACGCAAAGCGAACCTTTTGATGTACAGCGACGCGCATTTGCATGACGCGGCCGGCGAATAAATTTTTCATCGGTGAGATAAAAAGCACTTTTTCTTTCTCTTTTTGTGATATAAGTGCGTAAGAGTCAGTGGAGATTTCCTCGCAATCAAGAAATATGAATGAGAAGAACGTCGCATAAAATGTTACCAATCCTAAACTAGGATCCAGGTAGGATTCTTCATCTACTAAACTCTGCGTGCGATTAATATAAAAAATAATCAAGTTACTTTTTACTTTGATATATTTTGCGCCACGAGAATTCTTCACGGAAAAAGAACCGAAGCATCTTTATGTGCTACGTAATATTAGAAATTTAAGGGAGACGTGTTACTTGGGATCTCCGAGTATCGCGAGACGTAAAGTGCAGGCAAAGAGAGATAAGTCGTTGGCGATGTTATCATTCCGCTTGCGGTCTCTTCGCGGCGGAATCATCGGTAACGCTCATCACGTACGGGAGCATTTCTGATTCCGCGATGGCTTTACGTCATATCCAGACGAAAATTGGAAAATGCTCTTGATTTTCGTCGGCGTAACCACCGCTCAACATCTCATCGCCGCCGATGCTCGCAACCCTGTACACCCCTATTGCAGGCTGATTGCACACGTTTCGTATTACTGCACGATCATTGGGGAATAACGTTTGCACTATACGTTCGTTGGCAGCTGATAATCGTCCCGCGAGATCGGCGAGCCGCAATAAAGAATATCAAGTAGCGAATATAAACGGAATAACTATTAATATTATATTGGGTGATCGATGGATTGTGAAAGTAACGTGAATGGATGTGTATTTAATATTTTCTACGATAGATATGGAAATTACATATACCTAACAATATCTAATATTTTTGAATTATCGATTTTTTCCGCTTTCCGCTTTTCGATGTAATCTAGGCTTGATGTTTCTCCTTAAGAGAAATACTATCGTGGAATTTCAAGAGATGAGTTTTTAAAAAAGCAATGAATTTTTAGGCGGAGAATAACGTGTTCTTTCGGGATCACCTGCACACAATGCTTATATACGAGGAAAACAAAATATATCGCTCTCGGGAGATCTCCCGAGCGAGAAAGTGAATCGATCGGAGAGCCTCTCCGGAAAATAACCGTGACAGAGTTATACGAGCGATCTCTCAATCTCGTCAATGGATTCTTTAACGTCACACTTTCAATCGACATCTCGCGCGCAACGTGTACGAAACGATAGGGTAGAAAGAGGAGGAAAGTTTAACACAAGCACACAAGGAATAGAAAGCAAACACATACCTGTATGTACACACACAATGCATACACGTACATATATATATATATATATATATATATAGAGGGTGAATGGGGGCGCGAAGCGATATAGAGGAGAAAAAGCGGACCGGCTTTCGCCCGCGGCCGTGATATTACGTAATAAATCATCCGAATCTCGCGATGTCATACAATATGGGCCTGTGTGCAGGTGAGCGACGTCTATACCAATTTTCATTCCGGCGCGACATTCGACGTTCTCGCGCCCTTTCGACCCTGCCCTTTCTGCACTCGGCTGCGGCTGCAGCCGGCACAGCCAATTCTATAAACCGGGGCCTTCCCGCGCGTTTCCGTTGACCACCGGAGATTAATTTTGCTTCACGTTCTTCCCGAACTCCCGCTTGTATATATCTCACGCCGGGATCGAATGCGTCGACGAATCACGGTATATCTCGTCGTCGCTAACCAAATCGAGTCGCTTCGAACTTTTTTTCGATTTTGTCGAATATTCTTCTAATGGGTATATGTTGGAAAAAGAAATTCAAGATGCATTCAATTACATGAAAAGTTATATTTTGGTAATATGTATCAATTGTGAATTATAGATTGTTTAAAATGAATGAAAAAGAAATTATGAGAAATAATGAAAGAAATAAAAAGTGAAATAAAAAGAAATAGTAAAAGAATAAAATGTGCATAGAAAAAAAAGGAATCCTTGATTCAAGTATATTTTTATTCTTGAACGCTATTTGATTGATTTAAGCATAGAATGCTCTTTGTAATCACAAATTTTCATTTGCCTTAATAATAAATAAGTTTGTGTAAAGTATATTTTATCTTTAAGATATATTCTTGTTTTAAAAATCGCATATGGTAAAAACAAACTTAGTCACATTTGAACTAAGAATTATTATATATATTTGAAAGTACCGCTTATATCCGATGCACACTTGTCACTTGTCCTTGCAATATTTATAAGTAAATTTCAGCTTCAACCAAGAATATTTTGCACTTTGTTTTAAGGATAAATTATCCTTTATCCAAAATTATTTATATTTGGTGCTATTATAAGGATAAAATATACTTGAATCAAAGCATATTTGCATTCTCTCAAGGATACTGTTTTTTCTGTGATTGGAAAAAGAAATTCAAGATGCATTCAATTACATGAAAAGTTACATTTAGTTAATATGTATCAATTGTGAATTATGGATTGTCTAAAATGAATGAAAAGAAATTATAAGAAATAATGAAAGAAATAAAAAGAAATAGTAAGAGAATAAAATGTGATTAAAAGAATAATTAAAATTAGTTAATTTTTGTTTTTTTTCTGCAATCGAATCCACATTGAAAGTTAATCTATCAAATTTTGCTTCACGTTTTCCCGAGGCTTGGATATCTTATGCGATCGAATGTGTCGACGAATCACGGTTCACGGTATATCTCGTCGTCACTAATCAAATTGAATCTTTGAACTTTCGATTTCGTCGAATATTCTAATGGATATGTTTGAAAAAATCCAAAATGCATTCAATTACATTAAAAAGTAACATTTTGTTAATATATATAGTATATTATGAAATATTTAAAAATCAATTGATACAAAGTTTCGCTCGTATATTGAAAATACAACTAGTGATAGATAAAAAGGCCAACTTATCGAGCAATTATTAGAGTTGTTCTGTCAAATAAAATTTATTCCATGTATAAACTAAACATAAAACATTATGTGAAAGCTACAAACATTCTATACTCAAACTTAAGCGAAAATTACAATTATTATAAAATAAACGTTTCAACCGCACACGGTCTTCCTCAGTATTATATTACAGTAATTATTAAAAAATACAAAATCATACAAAAATTCCACATAATATTGAAAATTAATGTTAGTTCTTCAATAAGAGTCGAGAATTTATGAGCAGTTAAAGCGTGTTTCAATCCGTCATATCCAACAAATGTTCGCCTCGATATGATCTTTGATTTTAATCAAATCTCGAAAAGTTTCATCGTTAATATGCGAGATAATTACTGTAATATAATACTGAGGAAGACCGAGTGCGGTTGAAACGTTTATTTTATAATAATTGTAATTTTCGCTTAAGTTTAAGTATAGAATGTTTAGAGCTTTCACATAATGTTTTATGTTTAGTTTATACATGGAATAAATTTTATTTGACAGAACAATTCTAATAATTGCTCGATAAGTTGGCCTTTTTATCTATCACTAGTTGTATATGAAATATTTAAATTTTTGAATACTTTATAATTTAATAATATGTATCAATTGTGAATTATAGATTGTCTATAAATGAATAAAAAAGAAATTACGAAAGACAAAAATTTAAAAAATAATTAAAATTAGTAATTAATTTTTGTTTTTTTCTGCAATAAAATCAACAATTGAAAGATATAATCTATCAAATTTTGGGAATAATTATGAAGTTAAAATGATATTCATGAAAATAGCTGTAATGTGTGCGCACGCGACTCCTCTCGGGAATTCCCACGAAAGTTCAACTCGGGCTGGAGGTCGTTCGCGCTTTTAATACTGCTGGTGTTAGTCGTGAAAATAACAAAGCAGCGGTCGATTCAGCTTCGAGTGTGGTTTCCGTAGAGCTTCGGTTGAACGTGTTAAGTATTGTGCGGTTTAGCTTGGCCATTCTAGTGATCGAGTTAAATGGCGCATTGATCAAAATTAAATACTGTGAGACAGCTATTAATGCTACCTTTTTAATCCTGTTGCTTTATCCTGTTGCTTTAATAATAAATAGCATTTGGACCGCTCGACGCGATAAATATATACGTGCATAGAATATTAATTAAATCACATACATACAAAGAATTATAATAAATCCGCGCGCGCGTGAAAAATTAAGCCGTATAATTTTAATTATTTATAATGTGTTTCATGTTTCAAGCAGTCATACATGTGCAATTCTATGCGCATTTGTAAAGATTTATTTTATATAGAAAAATTTTTGCAATGCGTAAATATCCACAGTTTTCAATATTTTTCATTGAATTGTTTTATTACAGGGAATCGTATTTACGCATGTATGTAACGTTTTTTTTGCAACTATTATAAATATTCAAACGAAAAAGCAA